ACATCCCATGAGAAAAACAAAAACTCAAAATGGTGGTTCACATCTTTTGATGTGGGTAACATTTCTTGGATCGGTTATTTCAAGATTATGTAAGCTAAGATGAAGGTTGACAAAGTTTTCTTCATAAACTCGGTTAGATGAACTCATTTTTAGAAATGTTTTCAAATTGTGAATATGAAAAAAAAAATTGTAACAATAGAAATTTCTCAAATGATGAATATGAAACCCAATCCGGAATGTGTATCTGAAACATACAATATGCATTCTGAAATGTTCTTTCTTTTTGTCATCTCAGATTCCAAGGTATCTTTATGTCACATCTCACCAACCTAACTGTCACTCTAGAGCAGACATCGTTAGTCTTGAACATGGTTTTTTCTATTTTTATAAATTTCACATAATACTTTAATGTAATAATTACAATAAATGTAGTAATAAATGAATATCAATTTTATTAATGGACTTACTTTTTTTTTTGAACCGGCGAGTTAGTTGTTAGTGGTCTGGGCGAATAACTTCTTATTTTAAAATTTCCAAATTAAAGCTCATTAGTTTATTTATTTAAATTTAAAAGAAAAATCAATTTTAATAATTCATTATTTTTTTTATTTTCTTATAAACCAAAGTTCTTAAATATTTAAACTTTTATATTTAATTTTTTAATTAACTCATATAATATATGGGTCTTACACTTAGTTTTAAAAATATATACCATAGATATTTTTGTAGAAATTGAAAATGCAATGGCTTTCACACAATTAACATAATAGTTTCTCGCATAAAAATTAAAAAAGATAATCCATTTTCTTAAAAAAAAATCCAACTTGAAATCTTAAAAAAAAAAAAAAAAATTACTGTTAAAAAATGGTTTATCAAGAAAATAAAACAAAGCGAAATCCTCTGTCGTCCTTCTCTCTGCTTCCTCAGGGCAGTTTAAATTTTCTCACTGTGAATTTGTCTCTACAAGGCGATGATCGGCGCTCGTATCGGAGATTCATCGCAAGATACACCGGAACTAGGTAAACTTAATCACTTTCTATTGCTAATTTCAAGTGTTTCACTTCACATTAACCTTTTACCCTAACAACCTACTTCAGTATTGATTAATCGCCGTCATTCTATATAACATGCGTAAATGGAGCTATGTTAAGCCACTCTTTAACGCAATCAATCTTCCGAACATGATAATTATGTCTAACTAAAGTGTATAACCCCCAATTTGATCCCGGAGTTTCTGTGCATCGATAATGTTCTTACTTAGTCATGTGAGGCATGCATAATTGATTAATTGGCCCTATTTTAAAATTGATTACAGCAACTTGATATAAATATCATATAATCAAATGTAATCATATAGTAAAGCAATCTTACATTGAATTTTAATGATCTTTATTCCTTACCTGATATCTTTGACGTAACCAAGGAAAGAAATTATAATCACTTCCCCCCAAAGTACACTTAAAACTTGTAATTGCAACTTCAAGTCACTATGATCAGTTTAAAATGCACATTTTCTGGTGACAGTGGAGGTGAATATAGCAGCTGATGGTAGTACTAGTGATGTTTCATGTGAAGAAAGGGGTGTTGAAGAACCTTGTGTGGGTATGGAGTTTGAATCTGAGGATGCTGCTAAGAAATTCTATGATGAATATGCACGACATGCAGGATTCAAAATGCGTATTGATCAGTGTCGTCGTTCAGAAGTTGATAAAAAAATTATATCTCGCAGACTTTCTTGTAATAAAGAAGGTTATTATACAAAATCCAAGAACCAATTTGGGCATATAAGGAAACAACAAACAAGTTCAAGACAAGGTTGCAATGCAATGATGCTTGTGAGAGTAAATAAATTTGGGAAATGGGTTGTGACTAAATTCGAAAAAGACCATACTCATCCGTTAGTTTTGTCGACTTGTCTTTCTGTCAACGAAGGGGTAAGTTTGTCATTTTACCTACAAATCTTGTTCCACCTTTTTGAGTGGGATAAATATTAAGGGTTCTTGGGAATAATTTATTGGTTGCAATTTACTTGGTAGGATTGTAAAGAAAGGAGAATTCAAGGATTGACTGCAGAGTTGAAGCATCAAGATGGATTAATTAAGTTTTACAGGGAGCATCTATGCATGCTTTTAGGAGAAATTGAGCAGCAGACGGAAGTTTTGTCAACAAAAATCCAAGTTGCTGTTAATAATGTGAGAGAGATAGAAACAAAAGAGCAGAAACAGTTGAAGCATATAAAGTGAGTTGAAATTCTGCTTTATATTTCTCATCAAACATTATTAGTCACTTGGATCTTGTTATTTAGTTTTTTTGTTAGTAGGAACAAAAAGATGTAGATGTACAAAATAGAAGTTCAAATTCTACACAGAACCGATATAACAGACACAAGTGATGTGTGCATCCGAGGATATTGAAGATAATGATACTGCTTTTAGAAGTAATGATCTTTGATGATTGATGCTGCTTAATTTTGATGTCAAATTTTGCCAAAGGTAGTAATACTGTATTATTTTGATTTTGAGGTTAATAAGAAAAATGGAGAAAGGTAGAGTATACTGTATATGTACTCCTTGCATATGGAACTTGTATTAGTTAGTTAGATCAAGAAACCATTCAGGGACTTGTTGCAATTTCATGGAAAAATTATATCATTTTATATGTTTAACAATCTATATGATATACAATTAAACAATTAGGGAGTTAAAACACCAAAATGGAAATACTTCGTGGCTAAATAGCAACGTTAACACTTGAAACAAAGGCCATCTAACTAATCAACTAAAACACAAAATACCATAATAATCCAAACCCATCATCTTCTTCGTTTCTTCAGAAGTGAAGCAGCTCGGAGAACCACTCGATCAACCTCATCAAAATCAAAATCGGGCCCCACATCCTTTTCCTTCTTTGAACCCGCAGATATCCTCCTTAAATGCTCCTCAAAATCTTCTTCATCCCCATTACTTTTAACCTGAAACTTGTCAAATTCATCCAAATAAAGCGGTTTTTCATCCTCATTCTTTATAATCTCTTCATCCGTTTCACAATCTGTCTCAAAAATATCCGACAAATCTTCTGAATCCGAAACAAGTTCCGAACCATTAACACAATCATCATCATCATCATCATCATCTTCTTCTTCTTCGTTGAACTTCTTATCATTTTTAGCAACGAGTTCTCTAAGCTTTTGTTTAGCTTCAAATTGAAGGTTTGAATGTTCTTGAGGTTCATCAAATTGTGTATTTAGATCGATTTCTGGTTCGTTTTCAGCCTTTGCACGAAGAAGCTCAAGATCCTGTTCAAGTCTTGGAATGTATCTTCTAACTGCACGAAGGGCGTCTCTGTATTTTGATTTGTCTAATGCCTGAAAGATAGGTAAAGGTCCAATGGGTTGGATCAGGTCGGGTCGGGTCAACCCGTTTTGATCACACACACAAAAAAAAAAAAAAAAAAAAAAAAAAGAATACCTTTTTCCTAGGGAGGGTAACCCTAGGGGACATTATCTCTGTAGGTGGCTGTGAATAATTCTTCCCTCTATACATAATAATGGTTTCATCATCTTCCAGAATTTTAAGCACAATTCCTCCAGTCAATCTTGCAAGCTCTACTGCCATCTCCTTCACCTCCTCCCGTGTAAATGTCTTCACAATCACTTGCAGAGTCTCGTGTTTTTTCCAATGCAAATGCATGTTGAGAATCACACCTTGATATATCCCCCTTCTTCCAACTGGCACGTAATTCTTGCTTTTTATGCCCATTTTCAAGAAGTAAAAGTGTTCTTCAGGTGTCAGGATTTCTGGATCGTGGGTTGTTTCTGATGATTCTTTTGGTTCGATCTTCTTCAAAGCTTCAACCAATCGTTCCTCCTTTTTTCGAGCCTAATAATAATAATAATAATAATGTTTGTTATTTGTTGGAAGAGTTTATAATTTGGATGTCTGTATAAACCATAAACAAAGTTTACCTTTCTCAGTTTGAAGAGAATTTTTTCTTCTGATGTCATTCTTTCATAATCTTTCTTCTTCTTGAATCTGAAGAACTTGAGCCATCTTACAACTGCTCTTTTCCCCTTTAACTTTTTCCTCTTTGGTTTAGCTTCAGCTGATTCATTAGCTACAGACTCGGTTCCATGGCTCAATGCTGGCTCAATAACTTTGTGAACTGTGTCAATAGGAGCTGAATGATACCACACCATACCCCCACCCCCAGGGAAACATCTTTTGGCTCCATGTGATGATATAACAGCTTGTTCATGATGCACAACCTTGTATATAACATCAGAAAAACTACTACACTATGAGATTAGCAGAAAAATCCTCTAATGGTGAAAAGCTAAAACGAAAAGAAATAGGAGTAGCACACGTATGTAGTGATGTTTTTATACTAATGAGAATTGAACATGGCTGGTATAACCTGATGAACACAATCACAATCCTCTGGATCTTGATTAAATTCGAATAAGAACAGACAAGTAATTTAAACAGAATTGAAATAACCAAGCAAGCTAACTAGCAAAATACTCAATCGTCCCCGCTTACATACCAAGATATCTATCAACTGATCAATATCAAACACAGTTTCTTCACATTTGAGTTGGAAGCACACATTTTGATGAACAATACAAACTTAATATTGTGGACGATTCGTAACAGATGCAACGGGAGAGTGTATACCTGGACTTGTGAAGAAATTGACGATATAGAAATGGGGTGAAGATGAGATTCTTCAGCTGTTTCGATTTGCAAAATGCCATTGAAGCTAGAGTTCCTATCATCGGTTCATGATTCTTTTCCTCTTCAAGTGCTTCCCTTTACGATTGCCTAGGGTTTATGTTGATTGTTGGGTATTGGGTCGAACGGAACTTTGAACCAAAGCTCAAAATTCAAATGCCCCTATATTAGTTGAAACCTAAACCCTAGTTTTTCTCAGTGTCAATTTGTGAGGGTAATGTTCGCTCGGTGAAGCGAACTTCGATTTTTCCTTTAGCCTACAACAAAATTAATAGACCGGATTGATTTATTCCAAGTTGGGCACTAACAACGTGTTTTTAACAAGATTTCGTAGGTTGAATTCTAGAGATATACCAATTCGCTGTTCTAAAAAGCTTAATGAGTTATTAGTTTTGGAAAATAAAAAAAGTTTTTTAAATATTTATCTAACTTATAGATTCTTGCCATCATATAACTTAATTCAAATACTTTTTAAAAAAATTATTTTTATCACCACATAAACTAAGACCATTTGCATCGGTTCTTGCAAATGGCTTTCAATTTGCCACGTAGATATATTAATGTTCTACATAAGCTCATTTCTTACAAACTGTGAAAGGCTTACAACATGATTTGTGGGTCCATCAACCACTAACTTCTATCTTTTTTCAATGTTTAAAAATCAATCAAATATTGTGTTATTACTTTCTCTCTCTTAAAATGATGAATACGCTAAGTGGCCACCACTTTTTGCAAATATCACTGCAAAAATCGTAGTTATTTTACACCACTCATGATCTCGAGCTAGGAGCTGTGGTCTTCGCCCTAAAGATTTGGAGACATTACATCTACGGTACAAAGTGCACCATCTTCACGGATCACAAAAGCCTCCAACACATTCTAAACCAAAAGGAGCTGAACATGAGGCAACGAAGGTGGGTCGAGCTGTTAAACGACTATGAATGCGAGATCAAGTATCATCCAGGCAAGGCTAACGTGGTAGCCGATGCCCTGAGCAGGAAAGAATACTCAGGTCGTCCGGTAAAGACATTATCAATAACCATCCACTCCCACCTAACCTCACAGATCAAGGGAGCCCAATCAGATGCATTAAAGCCGGGGAACGCCACAAATGAAACGTTGTGTGGGATGAATAAAAACCTTGAAGGCAAAGAGGACGGAGCTTACTACTTCATGAATAGACTCTGGGTCCCTAAATCTGGGGGATTCAGGGAGGTAGTCATGAATGAGGCTCATAAAACGCGATATTCCGTCCATCCAGGTTTGGATAAGATGTACCTGGATATTAAACAACATTATTGGTGGCCAAATATGAAGGCAGAGATCGCCACTTATGTGGGCAAGTGTCTCACTTGTGCCAAAGTGAAAGTGGAGTATCAAAAACCCTCGGGATTATTACAACAACCAGTAATACCCGAGTGGAAATGGGAAAGGATTACTATGGACTTCATAACCAAATTACCTAAGACCACAGACGGATTGGATGCTATTTGGGTAATTGTCGATAGATTGACCAAATCCGCCCATTTCCTGCCAATCAAGGAATCGTACAAGATGGAAAGATTAACATGAATCTATATAAAAGAGATCGTGAGACTTCATGGAGTGCCAGTATCTATTATCTCGGATCGGGATAATAGATTTACTTCACGGTTTTAGCAGTCGCTCCAGAAGGCAATGGGAACACAACTAGACATGAGCACTGCTTACCACCCTCAAACCGATGGCCAGAGCGAACGGACCATTCAAACACTTGAAGACATGCTCCGGGCCTGTGTGGTCGATTTCGGCAAATCATGGGATACCCGCTTTCCCTTGATTGAATTCTCATACAACAAAAGCTATCATATGAGTATAAGGGTTGCTCATTTTGAGGCTTTATATGGTCGCAAATGCATACCGCCTCTCTGCTGGGCTGAAGTGGGTGACACCCAGATGGCAAAAGGGCAAACACCGAGCAGCACTCTTACAGGACCAGAAATCATTCGAGAAACGACAGAGAAGATAATCCAAATCAAAGCCCGACTCCAAGCATCGCGTGATCGACAAAAGAGTTATGCTGATAAACGACGGAAACCTATGGAATTCCAAGTCGGAGATCGGGTGCTATTAAAGGTCTCTCCCTGGAAAGGGATGATCCGTTTTGGGAAACGGAGAAAACTCAATCCGCGATACATCGGTCCGTTTGAGATTCTAGCCCGAGTTGGTCCGGCGGCATATAAGCTGCAGCTACCTGCGGAGCTCAGTAATGTACACCTCGTATTCCACGTCTCAAATCTGAAAAAGTGCTTATCAGATGCAACTCTTATCATTCCTCTGGAAGAGATCGAAATAAACGAGAATCTTCTGTTCGTCGAAGAATCGGTCGAGATAATGGACAGGGAAGTGAAGCCTACGAAACAGAGTCGCATTCCGATTGTGAAGGTTCGATGGAATGCTAAGCGTGGACCGGAATTCACATGGGAACGCGAAGACCAGATGAAGCAGAAGTACCCTCACCTATTCTCTCGTTCGTAGTTCTATATTTCAAAAGAATTTCGGGATGAAATTCCCTCTAACGGGGGGATGATGTCACAACTAGCATTTTTAGCTAGGAAATTCTGTTTTCATATAAACATCAACTCTTGTAAAACTTGTAATCTAAGTGGATATCATGTTCTATGCTCAATAAAAACATCCAAAACTCATGAGTGAAGTTCAAAACCTAATTAAATGCATCTCATATACTCAATTTTGAGCTTGAAACCCTAATATCCCGATTCAAACCCAGGATGGACCAGGAGTTGTTTATTGGGCCTAATAGGTCAATTAACT